GCTGCTGCCGTATTTGTACAAGAAACCAATAGAACTGACACAAGCCACCAATTGGGGTTGTATATTTTTGGGAGGAGGAAGCGGCAATAACATGGTATATCTTGTTCTGTAATCCTTTTTTTTTCTTTTCGTTAAATTAAATCTCAAGTTAGAGAGCAGATTTTTGGATCCTGACATTGTTGTCAATTTGAGACTTTTGATGATGCCTAAAATGAAAGTGCAGGTGTTAATTTTTCGTGATTAAATTATGTCATGGCAACCTTGAGTTTGTTTTTTTATTTCAACCAATACCCATAGGTTTTGTTGTTACTCATTCAGTCGTTGACTTCCTTTTATATTGTACTTAAGTTTCACTCAAATCGTGGATTAACATGCCAAATTCCTCAGAGGGTACAAGTGCAGTTATTGATTAAGTTTCCTTGTTTACCCTTCTCACCTCTCCGACCCCAACACATTATGTTCATCATGCCCTTTGTCTTTCCCTCCACCATCCATGAACTTTGTCATGTTGCATGTTTGCCAATGTAAATTTTCTGAATGAAGAGTGGGTGGAAGTGCAGAAAAAATAACCAAAAGATATGAAAATTAGTTTCTATAATATAGTTATTAGCTTCCGTAATATAATTAGTTTTCAAAATTACCATATTTAACTTTGTGATGCATTTGTTTTTATACATATGGATTCTGGTTTCTCTAATATAAAAAATAATAATATAAGGGAAACTAATTTCTAAAGTTGAATTTCTACATTACAAAATTTGGTATTTTGCTATGCCATTTTTTTTGTTTCTGACCTAGGGTTTAGGATTTAGTTTTTTCTACGCAATCCAACAGTTTAGTAATCAAGTAACTTACAAAATGTGAAAACTATGTTCTGTCAAATAAAAAAGAAGAGAATTACGTACATAGTAAAAAATATATTTTATTTGACTTCTGATTTATTGTTGAAATTTTTGAATTGCTTTAGCCAAAAGTCCATATTTTAACCAAACACGTATATTAACTTTGGTAATTTAGAAATTGTGGAATTGAAAGTTGGAGTATTTTATTGATTGGTAATCGTGAGACATTGGAAGTATTCACTGGGTTACAGTATCCTTACAAGATCATTTTAAAATTGAATAGCCTGTTTGTTTAAGTTTTAATATAAGAAGATAAACCAAATGAATTTAAAATGTATGAGACCATGAAATACTAAAATAAAAAATAAATAAAAAATTGAGTACATTGGCGACACTATATTGTAACGTAATCGTTAACCAAAGTATGAAAATGATCCTTAGTTAAATTTCCATTGCAAGATCCCATAAATAATCAACAGTGTTAGAATGAGATAGCAAGATAAGCCAGGTTAAATTGCTCTTAGAAGAAGGCCCATCACAAAACCTGAGTTGCTAAAAAAGTGATAGAATACAAACAGGACCAAATGTGTTCATCAAATGTATGATTGGGTGGACAGATGCTCATCCCAAACTGAAGTTAAACGGAGTAATTAAAAAAAAGTATGAAAAATGTGATAATAAAAATTATACATGTTTATCAACTAAAATGACCTTTCACAAATCCAATAATTTTCTTCAATCACGTTCAACTCCACTCAGTTTTATAGACCAAGAAATAAAGACACACTGATATGAAAAAAAAAAGGTTAAATATATTTATATTAACGTGAAATTAGTTTTCATTCTAACTTTTGATATATTAAATTAAAAAAAATAAATTGATAGTTTTCTTTAGTCAATATAATTAACTTTTTTTATGTAACATTCTAAAAATATAGCATAAAACTATATAAAGGAGTTATCATATAATAATATAATAGGACAGTTACTGGAAATAAAGTTAACCTTACAATTATCACAAAATAATCATAAAATTTAAAACTTTACAAAGTTCCTATATTATTACAAAACTATGTACACAACCGAACGATTATTACAAAGTTAGAGTTGTGACCGAACGGTTCACACAAAACTATAAACAATAGTATAACTGAACGATCATAATCTAAGCAGCAGGGTTCTCACCATCCAACGCCTGCTCCAATGAACACTCCTCCCCCTCTGCTCACACCCAAAAAGGTGATCATCACAAAGAAGAATTATCGAACGGAAAAACATAACAAAATAGAAAACAAAATGGTAAGCTAGAGTAATTTAATTAATCATATGAATCATTCAATTAAAATAAGTATATACAAACATGCAACATACAAGCATTTCAAGCATACCAATATAACCATAAAATACATGCTATGACCGAACCAATGACTTGACCATCCGGATTGTATGAATATGTAGCTTGAGGTCGTTCATGCACACAGGTGGTGTAGTAAATAGAAAACCATCAGCTGCCACCCGAGGTTAGTCCGTTATAACTCACCCAAGAACCTATGGGCTAGGACCTCCTGTCATTCTCACACAATGCATTACCCATCTCTACTTGAGAATTGTTAATCATCAGAATTTTAGGATGAACTCCGTAGATTTCACTGTCTATACTCATACTTTACCACCTTGATAACCAGCACCGAGATATCCTTCCTTGGAATTCTCTTTCATACCAATAGGAACACCATACCTTATTTGAATATCAATATAATTTCTCATACATAATAGATCAATACAACTATAACAAGCAATCAGAGCCAAACAATGAAATCAGCATTTAAAAACCAAATAACCTTTCGTAGAAGAGGACCGAACGACAACAAAAAAACCCCTGAGTATGATTGAACGAAAATTCACTAACTATGAAAAAAACCGAACACCATAACAAGACTGTGTACTAGTACAAGACCGAACGCTAGTACAAGACCAAACACTAGTACTAGACGAAATACTAGTACAAGACTGAGTGCTACGACCTAAGACGAACACCTACGACTTAGGCCGAACACTTAAGATTTATACTGAATACTATTCATAAAACCTATCACTACTAAGAGACCGAGCGTTACAACAATATGAGCGAACTGTGTGCAAGAACTACTATCCAATCATAACCGAATATTCATGAACATGTAAAGCCTATGAGAAGCCGAACACCTATAACTTAGACCGAACACATTTAAGACCTAATATAAGTACGAGGTCGAGCACTAGTATAAGAACGAACGCCAATAAGAGACCACACAATCCATTAAGAACGATCGCTACTAAGAGACCACACACCTCACTAAGAATGATCGCTATGATTAAAACAAAATACTAATACAAGACCGATCGGTCATTAACTGAAAAGCTTTATAGAAGTAAAACTCAGTTAAGACCGAACACAATAAGAAAACTGAATGATCAACGAAGAACCCTTAGCAAACTGCATAATTCTACAAAATGACTGGAGAATTATGATCAACACCAAATCTTTACCAATTACCTTCGTTCTTCCCAACTTATAGTATACAAACCAAACTCACACCTAACACATTATCTATCTTTACTATCACACTTCCTCCTAAAATCACTCGGCCAATGAACAAAAATTAAGCATAATCACAATCAACATGAATACAACACTTAAGAGTCTTCAATAACACTACCGAACACACAATCATTCAGTTTCACACCCATGCAAAGCCATCAAACATCAATTTCATACATCAACAACCAAATAATTAAATTAACTAGCTTCCCTTATCTCTTACCGAACATAAAGCTTTGACACCTTCAAGAAATTGTTTGAACTTCAAGAAAATCTAAAAACACCTAAAGATCACCTATTTAAAAAGAAAGGATCAACCAAAAGACTGAGAACATTATCAAAAATGAGAATAAGAAGCTGATGAACGCATGCAACCAAAATCGTGGCTTGCATGTGCAAAAAAGTTTTGGAATTTCACAAGGATTAATGAGGATGAAACCTACAAACTCTAAACTTTAATTTGATCGGTGAAAAAAGAAACCTTTGACACCCGGATTGCTTAGGTACTGTCTGATTTTTTAACAGATGAAGTGAGATGAAGGAATTCTAGAGAGAAGGAGGAGAAAAAAAGGATTCAGAAAGTTAGAGTGAGATGGTGCATGCAGAGAGTGAAACGTGAATTTGAAAATTTCATATATATATCACTACCAAAACTGATCGATCCAATCAACTGCATACACTTGTCCTTCTCCACTTTCTCTGAATTTCTCAGTCCTTACATACATGTTAAATAATATTCTAAATTAATATTTGAATTAGAATGTGCTATATGAAAACATTATTAAATAAAAAAATTAATATAATTGAATTAAAAATATTTTTTTTTGTAAACTAAATTGTATCAAAATTTAGGATAGAAACGCTTATAATTTTACATTAAAATTTAGAAATTATAAATATATTTAATATAAAAAAATAAATGAGATAAAGATGAGATTGAAGAGAAAGTAAGTAAATCGGGAGCAATTTGAAATGCCCACGAAAGATGGAGAGTATTGATACTAAGAAAGACATTGGTCCTTGACATGATGAAGTTGAAAGTAGAAGTTGTGGAAAAAACAAAGAGAACTTATGGAGTGTTTGGTGAGAGCTGCACCTGTCTTGTTGGTGGGCCCAAGAAGCACGGCGAAAACAAAGACGATTCCAGAAGTTAAGGCTAAAAGTGCTTTTTAATTACTTCTTTCTTTCACTCTCCCAAACATCATACCTTCTTCACAAAGATATCACTTTAATAATAGAGAGAACTCATAACTTGATCATTCATATAATAATTCACGGCTCTTTCCTCAAAGATTTATCAACATCAATCAGACCAGACCGAATCCAAAGTAACATATGATTTAGATTCCCATAACAACAATTAATGCGATAAACAAAAGACAGAAATATCAATAAAATATATATACTTTGGTGTTTCCGTGTGTGGATATTGATATGATAAGTTACCCGTTAGAAACCAATTGAAGAACAATTTCCTTATTTCATAGAATATACTTTTTGACAAAACATGCATTTATGAATACTTAACGTTAACCACGAACATGTAGTTACGTGGTACATGTAGTTACTTGACATGTCAGTTCCCAAATCATTGTTGCGAAACTTTGTCTTAAAGTAGTCACTATTATATCTATGATCTCGTTAATTTCACCTTTTCTTATGTTATTAGAACAACCATTTAAGCTTGTTCTCTTTCCTTGACAATGACCAACAAGGAGTACAATAAGAGATCAATTTGTGAGACATCAATGTTGGTGGTTGCAAACATCATAAGATTATCGTCTCTCAGATTTTCTGGCCAAAGCGAAGGAACCCATGTGGTGGCCAAAGGCAACAAATCTTCAATTTCGAAAATTTACAAGAGCGAAAGAACACAAGAGATGGACAGAACAAAAGGACCACGTTCCTACCTCATCAAACCACCAAAGGAGGATCCAACAACCTATGTGAATCGAGCATTCGAAGATGTTGACATCAACGCTCAGAACTACATCAACCACGTTCGTTGCAAGATTAGGGACACCGCTAATATTCAACATTGAAACAGTGCTAATAGTATAGTCAAGAAAGTTTTACTATTTTACTGATTTATTGTGTAAATAAAGCTATATCAACTACCTAGCTTCACAAGCTTTTCTTGCACAAAAGATCAATGAAGAGTTAGGTTTAATTTCACTTATCAATGAAGCGTTAGGAACATTTATTTAAATTTTATTTTTCCATGCAAATATAAAGCGGAAAAAGTGTAATTTAGTATTTGAAATTCGATTTTGAAATGAAATAGTAATTTTTGAACGAAATCAATATAGCATTGATCAAATGTAATTAAGCATGAAAGTAAATCGTGTGTATATATATATATATAAAATTCAGAACCACAATGCCATCCCATATTATGCATTAGTTCTTGAATTGCCTTTATTTGCATGAACATGTTGCAGACCATGCGAAAGTTTTGGGATATCATATTTAAACATGTTAAAGTCGTTACATACTTTGTTGCAGTCCCTGATATTGATTATTATTGTTATCCAAATACGAAAGAGTGAATATATTAATCTATAAAATAATATGTATTGAAGTTAATTAACAAATGTTATTTTTCATTCACTAAACATATATAATTATTTTATAAATAACTTCATTTGTTCCTTACATAAAAATAGTTTATTGTGTAAAATGTTATCATTGTAGTGAAATATCTCAATTTGCTTATCGAATTCGTTTCACCATCACGAACACGCATTTTTGAGGGGCAATTTTTTAAAAAGTCAACGTTGTTAAAACGTTGATGCAAACCGTACTATGTCAAAACATGATAAGAAATTAACCATACACATTCTATGTTTCTGGATATCATGGGCAGCTACATAAATAATGTTATGTCAAATTTGTATTCTCCCAAAATTGCAGCCACCGGGTGAAATGCACAGGTCCTTGCAACTTCTTAGCAGAAAGTGAGTATCCGGTATGCTATTTAATTTATGTCAAGAACAGCAATATGTTGAAAATGGCAATGCCATGCCTATCTCAGTCCATCATTCCGGAAGATAACCTTGTGAGAAAATATGACAAAGAAGATAGCAAGTATCATCAGTGTTCTTCCGCGAAATGCTGAAGCTGACAGCACTGTTTGCAGACAAGAGTAAGAAAATGTAAAAAATTACCTTGAATATTATGCATTGTAGCCTAGTATGGAACCTTTACCACTATCTATAGCTGATCTATATACCAAAAATGTAGAATTAACTTGTTTAAGAGTCGATATTAGATCTTCTTAGTACTTGGCAACTCCGAGACTTGGAGCCTTGCCCAGAACAGACTCAACATCTCCATGAAATAAGCTGAATCTTTTTGCCACAGCAAAACCAGCATGCATTCCATCTACTGCTGCACTGATGATCCCACCAGCATAGCCTGCTCCTTCCCCAACTGGATACAGTCCTTTTACTGAAGTGCTCTCATAAGAGTCAATATCGCGTGGAATTTGGATGGGTGAACTAGTCCTAGTCTGGGACCAAAACATTGTTTAGCACAAATAAATAGCACTGGTGAAGAAAAATCAAAAGAATCACTTGCTTTGTGAGAATCAACATCTTCATACTGAACCAGAAGGCAGGATCAGGGGAATAATTTGCAGAATTTTGGTAAATCATACATACATTGAGATGTATTGATATATCAAATCCTATGATGCACGGATACAATATGTGTATCCATACATATCTGATACGATACGTTTATTCTGAAAATAATAGGATATGATACATGATATATGTATATTGAAAAACATATAAAAATTCTTAAAAGTATGATAAATATATGATTGTTATTATCTCAATCCAAATTAAAATCATAAGTATTAAACATTATCAAAATAAAAAATTATAAATTATGATCTATAAAGTAATATTACTTTATAGATTAGATATTTCTTTGATAGGTATCGGAAAAGTATCCTAAAGTATCCGGCACGGATACGTTTACGACGAAATTGAAGTATTGATGCATCATAGATCATACCGAACCAAAAAGGATAGCATGTTTTTATACCTCTACACCATGAAGGAGAGCCTCATTGCAGATAAATCCTGGTAACTGAAAAGTTAAGTTTGAATTAATAAATTATTTTATTAATTTTGTTTAAATTAATGAATATAGAAAGGACATGAGAAACTGCAAACCTCCTTGTCAAATGTTACAAGTGAATGTTTCAAAGCTTCAGTTATATGCATGGGAAATAGCTGATGGAGATTTGCTGCATTCACGCCCAACCGATAACTTGATGAGGGTACAGATGTTACTGGCACAGATTATCAAGCTGAGTTCATTTATGAGCTGAGAACCTGGGTGTAATAAATAAAGGATTGTAGTGAATAATTTTTTACCTGACAACTTGTTCTCAAGAAAGTCTGTAACTGTTTGGACAGGCACTACAAAATTTCCTCCTCCCATCATAGCAGCTCTTTGTTCGAACTCTCTCTATACAATACAAGTATTAGATAAAACCCACATACAGTCAATTTATAGCAAAAAGAACACTGACCAACTAGTTGAAAACTTAGCATCTGCTGCAATATATTGGTCCATTAGTCATTCACTTACACTTAAAAGGACACAGAAACTGGAAATAGATTGATGTATTCTATTATTTAATAATTAAAGATTGGAATAAGTTTCTAGGGAATGAAAGAAGATTTATTAGTAGAAAAACTGAACAATGAAGATATCAAGTTTAACTTCACACATTGCTTTTGATAATAATAAAGATGAAAAGAAATGAATGATGTTGTTATAATTAATGCTGTTAAATGTTCAGCGTAATTGACTGTCTTTTAATTCATAACCGATGCCAATAATATTTAGATATTTCTTCCGTACTTAAAAAATCCCCATAATTCAACAATGGAGAGTAGGACATGTACTTTCAATACTAAACATCATAAGAACTGCAAGAAACCTAGGAAAGAGAACATAAATTGACAGAAGCAAACAATGAAATTCACCAGCTTTATTGAAATATTGATTTGAGATTAGAAGTAACTCCTTCAAGGGTTTCTCCTTCACAAAAAGATTTCTCCTATCACAAAAAACTGCAAAATTCAGAGTGATCCTGTCTAATGTGATTTTCCCGTGTATAATTAATCCTCCCAACGAAACTAAGCTAACTAACTAACGGACTAACGGACTAACTGTGGTTCTTCGATCTCATTTTATACCTTGTACACCCTAACGATAACACAACTATGATAACAAAAATTCAGACCAACCTGAAATTTGATTCCAGAAAGAGGACCAACATAATTCAAAGCTTCAAAATCCTTTGTTGTGACTGTCACCACAAGCGCAGCATTTGCCCACTTTGATGCTCTTCGAGAAAACGACATGCCATTGATGCAAATTTCTGATGGACTTGTACTGGTGAGAACAACCTAAAAGTTCCAACTTTCTGTAATTCAGTCGAGTTGATGACATCCAAGGATGGCTGAGGAAAATTAAAACACTGACATGACAGTTTAATGATACAATTATGCTAGACATACCTCTCCCTTCTCCGTGCAAATCAATCAGTAAATATTTATACTATAACATTTATGTGGATGGACTCAGCACGACAAAGAGCTCATATTCCAATTAATATGATGATAGAAACTTTGGTAATTGTGAGTGTCTAAGTCTCATACCAAGCAACATAAGAAGCTCATCGGAGTATTTAAAAAATTGGATCTACCCCTTATAAACCAGGAAGGCACAGAGCTCAAGTACAACACTGCATACCACTCCAAACTGATGGTCAACCTAAAGGGGTCAATAGTTTCAGAAACATTCACGATCCTTTTTTCCAAGGAGAATCCAAAGTAACGACTTAACTTTCTATCCTGGGCACATTATTTGTTTAATACCATATACCATTGTCCAGAAAAAACGTCTCCAATTCAAATTCTACATTGGACAGACAACAAAACTGAAGTAAATTTCAGTGTGGCTGACTGGTTGTATCTTAAAGTTCAACCTTAATACTTGAGATCTTAAGCAAAGAGAAATAATATGTTATTATCTATTACTAGTGTTCCCTATAAGGTCCTCTAGAACTTGATTGCATGCAAGCAAGAGTTACCAGAGCATCTCACATCCATCTTGTATTACATGAATGCCTATTAAAGACTGCACTAGCAACAACATCAGTTACAACCTCTACCACTAGTTCTAAGACAAGGAATGCTCGAGTTACAACCCTAACCTGAAGATGTGCTTAGGTTTGTGGATCACGGACCAACAGAAGTTCTCACCAAAAGGGGGGATCTTCCTCCTTTTGGGAATTTGGGGAAACAATTTGACAGCATTTTTGTTTTTTGTGGTGGGGTTAGGAACTGGGAGAGTGAAGGCCTGTGATTAAACAAGTTATTTTAAAAGGGGGATAACTTCCTTCACTCTAAAATTCTTGGGCCACTTCCTTTCATTCTAGATGATATTTATCACATTAAGGAATGAAAGGAGGTAGCTCAAGAACTTTAGAGGGTGTAGATAGAAATACTCCATAAAAAGTAGTTGGACGTAGAGCTGGATGACCATTTATGTGTAGTTTTCTGTTATAACAGTAAACCATTTTTTTATAATAACAGGGGGAATATTGTGATATTTTTGTGGAACTTTTAATAATTAGAAAGTTGAGTCGACCGGACTCCAAAAGTTTGTGAACTGTGTACAATTCTCTTAGGCAGATATTCCCTATTATTCAATAAAGATTGACTTTTTTTTGCTATTCCTGTCAAGTGTTCCATCATATGATACAAAACCAAACATAAAATGAGAAGACCTACCTGCCCACCTGGACACATGCAGAAAGAGTAACAACTACGATTTCCCACCCCCGAATTAGATTCTTCGTGGAAATCCTCCTTGTCAATATAATTGGCAACTTTGTAATCTGCCACAGGAATTTTACCACGTCCATGGCATACCTCGGAAGCCAATTCAGCATACTGCACGTTTGAATGAATAAAATTTAATGCATCAGAATCATGAGAAATAGATAAACAGCTTTTATTACAGTCAACAAGCTTCTATCAGTACACAACAAGT